TTAATTAAAAGTCATGGCACCACGAACGATTATTGAAAAATTCACAAGAAAAACACGCAACAATGGATAAATATGAATTAAGTTCACAAGTAAAAGGTCTCATTAGACTATTTTGCTCTCATTATCAGAACAAGTTCTAGTTATTTATTTATTTATTTATTTTTCATGACAAATTCCTTGACAAACAAACTCTTGTTAAAGCAACGTCTGTTCTCTCTACATAAAAAATAAGGGCCGGCTTTGAAAGTACACCTACATGATCTTAATTTAATATCAATAGACCTAAAGAATGATTAGGTCAAAATTGACAGACGAGGATGCGGTGTTTATTTTTAATTGTTTCCTTGTCACCACCTTACAATAATTTTGAAATTTCGTTTGTGGTGGGCAAGGATGTCTTCACACCGGAGGAGTTACAATAATGTTTTTATTGTCGCACATATTATGTTCGACTTAGAATATTCATACATTTATACAACATTTCTTCATGGCGACATTTATGGGGATTACCATGTATTGGGTATACACGGTTGAAAACACGAGTTATGGGTTACAAATTATTTACAAGAAGAATACAACATCAACCGGTACCTAGTGTTGGTGATTTTATCACAAATTATATTTTAGTGTAATGGATTTAACAAGTGTTTCAATCGTATCTAATTTGTCATTCTTGAAAGATGAAAAATGTTTTGATTTATCCGTTGTTGGATAAATCAGGGAAAACAGCTCCTGTTTGCAGTGGCGGAGTTAGATGGGGCGTTGAGGGTACTACAGTACCCCTAAAAAATTATTTAATATATAAAAAAATATTATTTATAAACATTTTTCATGTTATTGTACCCTCTAGTAAAGAGATTACAATATGTTTTTTAATGTCCGATATTGGATAACTACATATAATATATATTGACAATGCTTGTTCCCCCTTATAAAAATTCCTGGTTACACCACTGCCTATTTGAAACACAGAAAACGAAAAAAGCTCTCTCTTCATCTTCTCAAAATTGATTATGATTTTATGCCTAAAATCTGAATTGCTACATCAGGAATTATCCCAGTTTGTATTTCATGATACCCAAAGCATATAGGGTCGAAATATCAAACAATAAAAGTGTTTACACGATTTCTGTTTGTTATCCAGATTTCTCAGTACCTAATTCGAATTCCCCAACAATCTTGTTTGATATTTGCATTTTCAGGAAAAGATGATTGTCAATTCACTAAAAGACATGAATACTTCGTTTGGGAAATTAAAGAAATTTCAGGGCCAAGATTTCAGACGTTGGCAAAAGAAGATGCACTTCTGGTTGACCACTTTGAAGGTTGTCTATGTTCTTTGTACACCAAAACCAGAAGAGGTTGAAGATGCAAGTCTGGAACAGATCAGAAGTAGAACCAAATGGGAGAATGATAACTACATCTGTCTTGGTCACATTCTGAATGGTATGTATGATTCCCTCTTTGACACTCATCAAAATATTGACACAACAAATGAATTATGGAACACACCTCATGCTTCAAGTAATAAGTTCAGTGTTTCTGATTTCAATAATTATAAGATGGTTGATTCTCGATCGGTAATGGAACAATATAATGAAATCCTACGAATTTGTTGTCAATTCACACAACACAACATGTCCATGGACGAATCCTTTGCTGTTGCAAGTGTGATTGATAAACTTCCACCCTTATGGAAAGATTTCAAATACCATCTGAAACATAAAAAGGAAGAGATAAGTTTGATTCAACTTGGGAGTCATTTCATAATTGAAGAAGGACTTCATGATCAAGAGAATGACAAAGGAACTGGAAATGGAAAATCTGAATTTGGATAGCCCCAAGTTCATATAGTTGAATGTGATAAAGAAGACAATTCTAATCACAATGGCAAGGTTAAAAAACATAAGTATGAAGGTAACAACAAAAGGTCCAACACAAAATATGAGGATTCCAAGGAACTTGTGTGTTGGAGATGCAATCTGAAAAGGCATATGACCAATCTGCAAGGGCATATGACCAATCTACAACCAAAGGTCAACTTACTATTGATCTTGTAAGTTCAGTACCTAATTTTATTCTACTAACTCCAAAAGTTTCTTTTGTACAAGGGGCCGATACAAATTCACGGTGGCTTGATACCTGTTCTACACATCACGTGTGTAATGATGAACGATGGTCACAAAGTTGAACATAGTAAATAAAGGTTTTGTCTTACACATGGCGGATGAAGGATCAAAGCCAATTTTCGGAACTAGTGCTGTTAGTATTATGTTTACTTTTGGAAAAATAATTAGTTTGTTTGATGTATTATATGTTCCAAAGGTTCGAAAGAACCTTGTATCTACTGGTTTGTTGAATTGTATGGGTTATAAACAAGTTATCGAGTCGAACAAGTATGTGTTGTCTAAATGTGGAATATTTGTGGGATTTGGTTATTATTGTGAACGTGTTTTTAAGTTAAATGTTATAAGTTGTTTTGCATCACATGTCAAATCTACTTTTATGACTTCTACGCCTAATCTTGATAATTCTATGTTATGGCATAGTAGATTAGGACATTTCATGTTAAGAGAATGGTTGAAATGTCAAAATCAAGATTGATTCCAGCTTTTGACATTATTTCTGAAAAATGCAAAACTTGTATGTTAAATAAAATCATGAAACAATCGTTTCGAAACGTTAATAGAAAATCAGAAGTGTTGGAATTGATTCATAGTGATCTATGTTATTTCCATGGTACACCTTCCTTGGGAAATAAAGTGTATATTGTTACTTTTATTGATGATTCAAGTCAGTTTTGTTATGTGTATTTATTACATTCCAAAAATGAAGCTTTAGAAAAGTTTAAAGTATACAAAACCAAAGTCGAATCACACTTGGGTATTTCGATAAAATGTCTTAGAATGGATAGGGGAGGAGAGTACATGGATTCTGAATACTTTCAATTGGATGGAATCATTCATGAAACCACAGCTCCTTACAATCCACAACAAAATGGTGTTGCTGAATGAAATAATCAAGTTTTAAAGGAAATAGTAAATTTGATGGTTTCTTTTTCGGGTTTAAGTGAAGGCTTTTGGGGTGAAGCTATGCTTACATCTAATTATGTTCTAAACTGGGTTCCTAATAAACGGAACAAAGTTACTCCTTATGAGCTTTCGCACAAGAAAGCACTAAATTTGAGTTATTTTCGAATTTGGGGATCTCGAGCAGTTGTGAAATTACCCGAACCTAAAAAGAAAAATTTGGGTGAAAGAGGAATTGATTGTATATTTATTGGATATGTAGAACATTCCAAATCTTATAGGTTTTATGTTATAGAACCTAATGAGGCATATTCCGTTCATACCATTATAGAGTCACGAGATGCGATGTTTGATGAGTTACGGTATTCTTCAATTCAAAGACCAAGGATCCAATTCCAAGCACAAGTGAGGTGCCTAAATCAGATGGAAAGGAAGTTGTTTTCAATTCCAGAAACACAACAACTTCGTAAAAGCAAATGAGGTCGAGTCGCGAAAAATTTTGGTGAGGACTTTCAACTATTTTTCATTGAAGGTTCCAGGGATAAAGTGAAAAAACAATACTCATATTCCTCTCATCTTGAGACTGGTCCAAGGACTTATAAGGAAGCTATGGAGTCTCGAGATGTTGCATTTTGAAAAGAAGCGGTTGATAACGAAATGTCATCCATTATCACTACTAGAAAAAGGCCTTTTACGACGCTCATTGCGCGTCGTAAAATGCTTAGACGACGCGCAAATGCGCGTCGAGGAAGGCCCTCTCATGAAGAGAGACGACGCGCATTTACGACGTGCATTTATGACGCGCATTTACGACGCGCGGTTATGACATGCAATGCGTATCAAGGAAGGCCCTGTCATAAAGGAAGACGACACACATTTGCGTGTCGTAACTTTACGATGCACGTGTTTATGACACGGAATGCGTATTAAGGAAGCCTCCGTCAAGAAAAGCCATGTCATAAATGAAGACGACACGGATTTTTGCGTATCGTAATTTTAATTTTTTTTTTAAAAAATATATATTTATATATTTATTAATTTATAAATTAAATTTGCATTTAATCTCTCATAATAGAAATAAAATACCATATACAAAAAATACAATCCATTGCATAATATTAAATAAAATACCATATACAAAAAATACAATCCATTGCATTTAATCTGTATGTATAACAAAGACACATGTGTTAAACTTGTTACCATTAACATCTAATCATATCGACTTGAGTGTTAAACTTGTTACCATTAACATCTGATTCATAAGTCCTCTCTACAAGATTGTTACCTGCATAAATGAAAACAAACAGGAACATTAACAGCCCAGCTATGACTCTTTTTGTCCCAGAATCTGAATTAAACCACAAGTGATAGCATTAGGCATTAGGCATTAGCATCTGGTTTAGCATACAAATGTCTTACCAACAAAGAAAGACAAAGCAGTATAGCATTAGGCATTAGCATCAGTGTTGGTCAAACACTCTGCATCAGTCGAAACTAAGGCAATTAAGACAATCCATAGTAACATTAGATTTTCCCTACATCAGTCAAAAGTATCCCCTATAAAGGATCAGGTAGAAACTCTATTCTCACGTTCAAGAGGTGAAAAAAACTCTTCATGTTCAGATAAGCATCACAAAAATCTGCTTAACTATTTAATTCCCAGCTAAGGGTTAAATACCCCATTAAGAGACCAAAATAATCGGAACCACTGGTACAGTTAAGGATTGCCCTCACAATAAAAGAAACACAAAAACAGGTGGTGCTATGCCCACAGTTACTATGGAGAAATAAAAATAAATTAATAATATTCTAAAGCACAATCGACATTATGCAAATTATAAGTGAAGGCAACAATGTGACATTCAAAAGTATGCTTTCCCATTTATGCTAACACCTTAAATAAACAAACACAGAGGCCTAAGATCATGAAGTTTCAAGGAAGATGCATACCACATGGTAATATGTTTTTCAGCCAAAACCACGTTCTTTGTAAACTATGATCATGAGCCAGTCATTTACTAGTTCTCTATCTTGGATGTCCATATCCTGACAAAGTAAAATAAGATCTCAGTTAAAATGATGAATACAATAATTATGCAACCAGAACCATAGATAAAATTCAGTTTGACAATTGTAAGAATCACCTGTTTTGTTTTGAGAACAAGGGCTTTCCAAAGATGGCTACTAAAGCGGGGGATAAAAGATAAAAGAACCTGACTGCATATAATCAAAAACCAACAATTCAAGAATTATTTGATATGCGTATAGTAGTTAATTAATATGTGTTAGCAATAATTTAATCGGTCAGAGCAAGATATAAATATGCTTTCTGGATGTTGACTCTTTGGTCTCCCATTAGCTCAAGAACTTCTTCCCACAGAATCTATATCACTTGAAATGAAACTAGCATAAGGTTTCAATGTCAAAATTATTGGTTAGCAATGAAAAAAACTTAACCGCAAGAAATGTCTCATACCAATTGCGTTCATAGAAAAATTGAAAAAAACTATGGATTAGTGGATGTAGTCATATTTTTCTCTAATTATTTAAGTGCGTGTACCAGATCTATTCCTTGAAAGCTAGAGAAACATTTTTTTATCAAACAGATGAAACAGATGAAACATTTATTTTATCAAATAGATGAAACATTGAATAGACTCGAATCAAATTTCCAAATCCCAAATTCGGAAATAACTTCAACATCAAAAACAGGGATGAGGTGATTAACTGCTCCAGCTCGTTAATCACCTCTTCCTATGGTCTATGAATCAAATCAATCATCCTCCATATCTACACACATCATCATTCAAACAAAACAAACATTTCAACTAATCAATATAAATAACATTTTAATAAAAACTAAAATAATAATAAATAAGTGATATATATACATACCTGTAGAGTTCCACCGCCACCTGTGCTTTCACCATCATCCGACACACTGACAATTGTCCATGGATAATGCCAGTTCCAGTGGAAATCAACCACCTTATCCCTTCAATCATAGCACAATATAATCTTGTTTCAATTTTTATCTATTTTTTTATTTCTGTAAAAAGGAAAACCATTAATTAAAATTAAATATATATACCTATGTCCAGAGTGTCTGCATAATAAGCCAGGTGGAAACTTTGACGCTAGACCAGAACGTTCACCAACCTGTAGAGAAACAAACAAACCTTTTATTAAAAAAAAACAATGTGTTGCAAGAAAAGAATAGGGGAAAATGGAGTAAAAGTAAAAGTGGTTTTTGGTTGAGTTGACACACCTTATTGTGATCCTAGATCTTCAAGACACCATCTTCTACTGAGCTTCCAAAGATGGATGATTTGTCAGGAGACCACTGAAACATACAAAGTAATTGGAATTTAGAAATAGTGAACAATTGTTCTAGAAAGGGAATCCATAATTCCCTAGAATTCATTAGGCACATCTACATCAACCCATGTTTCTTGATCAAGCATTGCTTTCAGTTTTGTCATCTATAACAACAATAATAATATTATTAATCAAAAAATTGTTGTTTACCTTCTCTGTTGCAGTTACAAATTATTGTGACACGTTATATATTTGTAAAAAGTCTTGAAGCCTTAGTCTTGGATGAAAAAGAGCACGAACACCAAGAAGTTTTGCCCATCTTCCATGAGCTGCATCATAAGCTGCAAACACTACTTCTATGTTTTCTCCCAATACATCAGCTTTGTTAAATGACACAATTTCCCTTGTTAGAAAATTTCTAACAAATAAGCAACATATATATATATATATATATATATATATATATATATATATATATATATATATATATATATATATATATATAATAGAACAGATCACCATTTTCAACCAAGCAAAGTTTGAAGAATAACAAACCTGTAGCTCATTGAATTCTAGATCATACTGAAAGCAGCCTTTTGTACATTAGCCCTTCCTTCCAAATGTTTCCGCTTCTTCATATCTAAAATTAATTATTATAAACTATTAATTAAATTCAATAAAAAAATATTGGGGATTTAATAATAAAATACTTCTCGAGAACTAGTATTGAACAAATTTTTAGGGATCAATGTATAAACAATTTATATATCAAATTACCGTGTAAAAAAATAAAAAATTTCTAAAATTCACAATGTCATGGATCCATTTAGAACAAGTTAAATTAACATACTTGAATAAACATACATTCTCATGGTTGAAAAAAAAACTAAGAAAACGTATTACCATTTCTCATGGTTGAAAATCGAAGAGTTACAAGCAAAAGATAAAATATAACATGGCCAATGGCCACACTAATTCATCATCAAGAATTATTCAAAACACAAAATCACTACAACTCCTTTTAGTGGTGTGCCTTAGTTGCAACTTTTCTTTGCGAATTTGCCTTTGACTGAAAAATCATTTGCACAAAAAATAGTTAATTTAATATTTTTGGTTAATCGTTATACATATAAAGGGGTATTTTGGTCTTTTAAATGATTGCAATGGAACTAAATTCCATCCATTGGTTAAACACAAACCAGATGCGCCCTAAATTTGACAAAATGAAAACATCTTTGGCCATCAACCATTAAATTAACATGAAAAAATGTAACAATGGATTAAAATTTCAAGAATATCTTACCATTGAGTGCAGCAACACCCACAATTGAATGCATATAGTTAAATCACACATGTAGTCATATAGTGGCACAGAGCACAAATTATTAAAAACATAAAAATACATGTGAATATTATCAAATGAAGCATTTCTCACTTCATAAAACATATGTAATAGGTGCTAAAGACTTAATGATATCTGGGGAATTTCATCGAACACTTGGTGTTCGTCTAAACACCATGGAAAGACAAAGGTAAATTGCAGAAATCAAACACATAAATCACAAAAATGGAGTATAGGAGTTGATAATTCATTGAAATATGAACAAAAACAAAAACAATAGAGATGCACAATGGATTAACATAATAAATCGAGAAGTAAAAAAACAGAAGAACATAAGTCGATTTAGGGATGGAAGTTACCACTATGAAGGCCTGAACATCTTTATTCCTATCTCTCTCTCTCTCTCTCTCTCTCTCTCTCTCTCTCTCTTCTCGTTAAGCTGCTGGCGAGACTTGGCTGGCGACCCCTTTGGCAGAAGATATCGGGCGGTGTTTAGCGCCCTTAGTGACCCATGACGACCTTCCTAACGACGCCCACTCCTTTGAGCCTGATAATCATATCGAGAGTGCTAGATTCAGATCCGCTTTCTATTCAAATATGCCCAATTTTTTTGCAGGACACGGTCCAAATTTTTACATAAGAACCGCCAAATCATTCAAAACTAGAAAAAGATATGTGAAGGAATTAAAATTAAATTGATTACCTGGGTCTCTAACGTAGAAGTTTCAAAGGTGATGACGAGATGCAATCGGGAAGCTAATGGAGCAAAGTTACGGTTCTTCATCTGTGTGTTTTTCGATTTATCTGTGGGGAATCTGAAACAAGCGAGAATCAAGATTCACATTCCTAATATTGAGACTTGAGAGTATAATTAGGGTTTTTTCTAACAATTTCAACATCGAGTGGGAGATATGGTGGTTCTAGTGGGTAGAAGTAAGTGGGGGAAGAAGTAGGTGGCAGTAAGGAAGGAGCGTTCATAATTTGGGCAAGAGGGAAAGGAGAAAAAAAAGGAAGGCGGGGTTTTTAATTTTTTCAGAATTTCATTTCCCCCTTTCCCCCACTATTAAAGGATGGAACGCGCGTTCCATTAAAAAATATAAAGCGACATCCTTAGACGACGCGCATTTTATTATAGGTGCCCTCCGTGTTTTTTTTAGACACTAATTTAAGGGCGCGCAATAATGCGTGTCTTCTATCCTTAAATTTTTTGAAGAGATGACATTTTTCTAATGTCACTCTCCTTTGCGTAACATAGATCAATGAGCGTCGTATTTTGCGCGTCGTAAAAGGCCTTTTTTCTAGTAGTGTATGGAGAACAATGTTTGGGTGTTATCTGATTTACCTACTGGTTCTAACCCTTTGGGATGTAAATGGTTTTTCAAGAAGGAAATGAAGGTAGATGCAACCATTGATGAATCATGGCGCGTCTGGTCATATAAGGTTTTAGACAAAAGGACGGTATCGATTATTTTGATACGTATACACCGGTAGCACAAATTTCTACCATTAGATTGTTGCTTGCTTTGGCAGCTATTCACAATCTTGTGATTCATCAAATGGATGTTAAAACAAGTTTTTTGAATGGTGATCTTGACGAGGAAGTTTATATGAAACAACCAGAAGGTTTTGTTTTGCCTGGAAATGAACAAAAAGTATGTAGACTTGTGAAATCATTGTATGGACTTAAACAAGCTCCAAAACAATGGCATTTGAAGTTTGATGAAGTTATTTTGTCTAATGGTTTTTCTTTAAACAAATCTGAAAAATTTGTTTACAGCCGTTTTGATTTATCTGGATCTAGTGTGATCATTTGCTTGTATGTAGATGATATGTTGATTTTTAGCACTGATCAAAATCAAATTTATGCAACTAAGAATTTATTGTCTTCAAAGTTTACCATGAAGGATATGGGGGAGGAAGATGTAATTCTTGGAATAAGGATTAAACGGGTGAACAAGGGACTTGCTATAACACAGTCCCATTACATTGAGAAAGTTCTCAAACGGTTCAATAATAGTGATTGTACACCCGTTAGCACCCTTATGGATTCAAGCATGAAGTTGATGCCTAATAGAGGCAGATCAGTTTCTCAACTGGAGTACTCACAAGCTATTCGGTATTTCATGTATGTTATGACTTGTACTCGTCCTAGCTTTTGCAGTGGGAAGATTGAGTAGATTTACTCATAATCCTAGTACTCAACATTGGCAAGCGGTTCATTGTGTTTTCAAGTATTTGAAAGGAACCAAGGATTGTTGTTTGTGATATTTAGGATTTCCTTCGGTCTTGGAAGGATATTCTGATGTGAGTTGGATATCTAATAGAGAAGATCATTCTTCTACAACTGGTTGGGTATTCTTACTTGGTGGAGGTGCTATCTCATGGGCTTCTAAGAAGCAATCTTGTATAACAAGTTCAACAATGGAATATGAGTTTATTGCATTGGCCGTTGCAAGCAAGGAAGCAGAGTGGTTAAAGAATTTGATTTATGAGATTCCATTGTGGAGGAAACTGATTGCGCCATTATCTATCCGTTGTGATAGTGCTCCTACTTTGAGTAAAGCTTATAGTCAAGTTTATAATGGTAAATTGAGACATATTGATGTTAGACAAGGGATTATTAGAAATCTAATAATTGATAGTGTGATTTCGATTGAGTTTGTAAAATCACAACAAAATTTGGCGAACCATCTCACTAAGAGTTTGGCACGAGACTCAGTGCACAAGTTTGTTATAGGGATGGACTTAAAGTCCTTGTAAATTCTTAAGAATGAGACACCCAATTCCCCTCTAATACAATGTTAGAGGTTGAATTCAATGAGGAAAGTTTGTTTATATGAATTGGAACACACATTATAACCATCCCAAGGTACGTGTGTTTGAACCTGTAGAGACCAGGATGAATTTGATTTCTTAATGATTCTTTTGATAAAATATATACAGGTACATGAATAAAAGAATCACTTATATGATCGTGAAGTGTAGCCGCACTTCAAAGAGCTTGGGACTTGGCTTTTATATGATCAAGAATGGATTGGGACATACAGCTTTATAATTAGTGTCAAGTTATTTTGTTTTTGATGATTGTAAAATTGATGTCTATATTATTTTCACATATTAAAAAGAGTTGATGGGTTCAATCTTTAAGATACCTTGATTTCTCGAATGTTTGAAATGTGTAATATACTAACATGAAAATTCAATCGTATCAATATTTTCATTTATGCATTAGTTTCGTTTCTTTTCTTTTAAGTTTGTTAATTCAAGGTTACACTAAAATAGGGGAGGAATGTTGGTGATTTTATCACTAATTATATTTTAGTGTAATGGACAAGTGTTTCAATCGTATCTAATTTGTCATTTTTGAAAGAAGAATATTGTTTTGATTTATCTGTAGTTGGATAAACCAGGGAAAACGACTCCTGTTTGAAACACAAAAAACGAAAAATGCTATCTCTTCATCTTCTCAAAATTGATACTGATTTTATACCTAAAATCTGAATTGCTACATCAGGAATTATCCTAGTTTGGATATCGTGATACCCAAGGCATATAGGTTTGAAATATCAAAAAAGGAAAGTGTTTACACGATTCCCGTTTGTTATCCATATTTTTCAGTACCTAATTCGAATTCCACAACACCTAGTGTACATGGTTTAAAGAAAATGTTTAAGAGTTAGTGGCGATCTACACGGGGGTGGTTAGGGTACAACAATTCCCCCCACCCCTCTCTCTCTCTCTATATATATATATATATATGTATGTATATATATATATATATATATATATATATATATATATATATGATGTAATTAAAACTAAAACTAATAAAATTAAACTAGAACATTAGAAAATAAAAGAAGAAGATTTGAGAGAATTATTGATTAATTAGAATATTATATTTAAGATGGTGTACTTATTTCTTTCATATTTGATAACTATTTATACTACATATAATCTTATCATTACATCATCTAAATAGTAACTAAATAGTTAAAAGAAACTATTTGAATGATGAAAATTATTCATCCACATGCTATGTCTAACTTAATGATTTCATGGCTTTTATAACCACCCCCTTGGATGACATTTTTTTTCAAATCTATGTTTAACCTTAAAACATTATTTAATACATTATTCAAATTCTTTGATCACTAATTATAATGTTTAGTTATAACTTTGCAATCAAAGTTGTTGGTTTTTATCAAATATATATGTGAATTAATACCATTTTAATTTTTATTTTTTATATAATAATACATAAAACTTGATCTAGATTTGTTAATTATTTATAAGAAAGTCATAAAAATATTTAAAAAAATGATTTTGAAGTTTAAAAAACCCAGTTTATTTAGATTTCAGTTTATTTTAGTAGCCCGCAGATGCTAAAAAAACAAACAATCTTCTTTTTTCAGACTGCAGACGTTTGGTCCACCTCTTCTACTGCAGATGTCTACAGATGTGGTCCGAAGACTGCAAGCATTTTGCCTAAAAAAAACAAACAACACCTAAATGTATATGTGAGAGTAGTATATAATTAAGATTCTACGGACTTAGAATGTGTGTTTCCGCCCTATCTCCTGTTCCTAGTTTGGTTGTGGACCTGGGGCAGAGTTGCAGATCCGACCGTCTTATTGATCTTAATTATATACGACTTGTATACACAAGGTAATGATGGATTGAACAGGTGTGAATCCTACTATGAACTTTTGGACAAAGCTGCCCAGGACTACAAGTGGGCATTCTACCATACGAATGAACATAGGTAAGTAGACCGAACTCATACACTCCCTACCAATGAAAATCGAGGATCTGAATTCACTAGAGAACGAGGATATCAAATGGAATAGAAGTACATACATCTTTCCCCAAGACCCGAAGTCCTGCTTTGAAAGCTAATTTCAGGATGAAATTCCATCTAACAGGGGGATGATGTCACAACTCAAAATTTTACAGCTAGCAAAGCCTAAACCCTAACATATAACAAATGAAACCACATTACACCCCTAATTGCTTTGTCTCCTTTATAGCCTTTAGGGCTTGTTTATAAGCTAATAACTAATCATGGATTGAAATGTAGGTAAAATTAGGTTAGTGTAATGTGATATATACCAAAGGAAAACGTTTTGTAACATAGTTAATCACATTAATTAAGTGAATTCAGCCTTAGGCTTCCTTTATATGCTAAATTCGGTTTCAAGTCTAACATCAAAGGGAAAATTTGGTTTTTGGAATCTTATTTGGGATGAATTTGGCCATTCCTTTCAACAAATGGAGAATCCGGTCCTGCCATGACCTAATTCAATTAGATCATGGCTCATTATGACCGAACACACAAGTTATCAAGCCCACTAAAACCGAATTCCCAAGCCTATATAAATGTGTCCAATCGAATTCAACTTCATTTCATATATTTGCCACCGAATTCATTCGCCAGTTAGCTATCAAATGTCACACCCCCAAACCAGAATGACGGAAACATTCGGGGGCGGATGACTTCACGTAGTATCACAACAATTGAATATTGTAAAGAAAGTAACAAAACCATCATATATATATATATATATATATATATATATATATATATATATATATATATAATGAAAACGTATATGTAACAACGCAAATTTTCAAACAAAATTTTCATTTCAAATAAAGTGACTTTATTCAATTAAATATAATTATTCCAAGTTTTATGTCAAAATACAATCATAAAATCCCCAAGATCTCCAAAATATCGAACAGTGTGTACGCATCACGCCGGTGCCTTCCCACGGTCCTCAC